CATCTCAAAATGCCTCAAGGAAGCGGCCAGTGCGATTGGCCTGGAAGATTCAAAATACTCCACGCACTCCCTCCGAAGCACCGGTGCAACAGCTCTCTTCCGCGGCGGCGCCTCTGACCTCGCCATCCAGCTATTCGGCCGATGGCACTCTGACGCATACAAGCGCTACACAAGAATCAACGGCCAAGAAGTGGCCGGTATGGCGGCAAGGATGGTCTCAAGCGTCCTGTAACTGGGGCTACCGCCACGCCACTCCCACGGCTGGCGGTAACAATACACTTGTTTCCCCCTCATTGCGCAGAAAAAACTCGAGCGAAACTGGTGGTTTTTGGTCGTGATTAGCGGAGAAATTTGACACCCCAACCGTCGCTGGGGCCCAACCGACGTAGTTCCCAGTAGTCTCAGTGTTTAATTTGCCCCGTACAGCCTCGTTTAACCCGCCACGCCACTCCCACGGCTGGCGGTAACAATACACTTGTTTCCCCCTCATTGCGCAGAAAAAACTCGAGCGAAACGCTGTACTCGGCTAGTGACCTTGCCGACGCCATTCAGCTCGTTGTTGCCATGACGCACACCATCGCATCGGCTGCTGAAGCGTACAGTATTCCTCAGCGGACGCTACGGTACCACATTGCGAAGTCCAAACACCCGAGCAATGTTGTCATGACACTGGGGCCGAATCCATCATTGGCTGTGCAAGACGAGAACGACCTAGCCACTTGGATCTTGGCCATGGACCGAGATGGCAATCCCGTCAGAAGACACCAAATACGGGGAAAGCAACTGACATGCACCGTGTTGTCCACGGCTACGCTTCGCCGAGGCCACTGATTAGGGACTGGGCACTGCGTCTATATAAATCTCAATTCGTAGCAAGCCGACCATGACGTGGTTTCTACACAGTAGGTTGGTTTCACAATGTCAATTGATAGATTAATAGCATGAAACTGTGCTATGGATGTTGGAGTATATGTACTCTCTGCCAAAGTAACAGTACTGTAAACCCAGGGTATTTACAGAGCACACCACTAACACTAAATCCATACCGACCTGCCGTTTCAACGACATACATACCGGTATATATACTGTACCTTCACCACATCACGTCACATCAGTCGCATGTCATGTCTACCTCCAAATTCTCTTGTCTGGATGGAGTTTGATCACCTTTGTGGCTTTGCACATTATAGCCAATAGAAATGCGTACTTACAGCTTGACGTGCGTCTTGCAAATTCGATTTATAATACATTAATATACTATTGATGATTCCTGCCCCCTACTCCGGAGTACTTGCAATTCATGGGTTTTTACCCCTACTCTCTGAGTATTATTTGTACGTTTTCTCCTGGCATTTCTACTTGAGTCTGTACCCGCTATTATTAGCCACACTATCTTATTTTTTGTTTCATCTACAGTCAACGAGGGAGTGGTTCGCCTAGCGAACTTCTTTGACATGCAACTGTATTATTGACCAATAATATTTCAGTAAAATATTGAAGTGATGTGATTGGATGCAATAATATTCTCCCGCCGGCCCGAATTATTTTGAATCCACAGACCCTCATTCACGAACTGATGAACTTCTAGGGCTTGCGATGGGACGGTCACGGCATAATGGAAAGTGAATGGAGGTGTCAATGTCAGTTTACAAGCTCAAGTTTGATGCTGAAATCTGCAGGAAGTCGCTTCAAGTTTGCTCGTCAGTTACCGCGTCCTAGAGAGGCATTACTTCTGAAAGGATATTTATGTCTAGAGGCAATGAATATCAAATTTTCCAGTGGTACTCCTGGATGTACCACTCCAACATTGAATCGAAAGGTACGGTACGGCATGCCACCCAGGTACATCTGGTCAATTCGTGGTGGGGATGGGAAAGTGTCCTCAGGCGAGAAGCACTCCTTGCGGATGACAGTGGCTCTTACCGTGCGTGCGGATGATACGAAGATGCCATTGCTCTTTTATGGTCCGCGATCTACCTGGCGATCGCATTGATACCCACGAGTTGTAAACTTACCCCACTGGGCATGCCTACACAGTTCAACCAAAGACATGGATGGACAACGACGTGTGGAGAGTGTACCTTCGTTCGTTGCTGCCCTGCATCGAAGCGCCGTCAGTGATCTTGGTCGACAACTATGAATCACACGTGAGTAACGAGTCCTACCACATCGTTCAAGAAGAACTGAGCATCTTCTGGTACCTTTCCTCCCACATCAACTTGCCAGCCGCTAGATGTAGGGGTAAGCGCGCCGTTCAAGCGGTTTCTGCGCGACTAATGGTTGGCCGAGGAGTTCATTGATGGCGATGACGAGTTTGACTCACCCTGTGCTGGGCAAAAGCGCTTGCAATGATCAATAGGGCGATTCTGGCGTGGGAGAAGGTCAGTGAAGATGTCATTCGCCAGAACTTTGCCAAAGCGATACCTTGTGATTGATGATGATCGCATCATCACAGCCAGTCCTTGCTGTTTGATTTAAATATTCAATTCATATATGATCGGTATGGTGGGTATTGGAATTTATATTGATATTAATTTAATCAGAGTAATTTTATAAATCTCTCATTTTTCATAACCTGTCACAATATTATAATTTCAATCCAGAAATGAATTTAAATGAAAGGACTGGCCATATTGGCTGTAAAGTTTGTCGTACTTCGAAGTAAGTTGGCCAATCGTTTGCAGGTATTTTCAGATACTTCGAAGTACCACATAGGCACTCCCTCGTTGACTGTGTGCACTTTCTGGTCTTTACCATTAGCACTCTTGCTTGTATGCATCACCTTGGGCTTTTTCCCTGCTTTATGAGTAACCACGCGCGTTTGTACCCAACTCTACTTTATATGTATTCCTGTCCTACCCTCCTTCCCCTCTGTTCTCAGGGTGACCTGTAGTGACATGCCTTTGGCACTTTTGGCCTCGGCGAATTTTTCGCTAAGTCCTTTTTGCCTTTGGCTTTGTCTCGAAGGCCTTCAGAAGCCCGTTGCCCAGTGGGGTGGCTGTCAAGAAGAGGCACTTTGGTCGTTAGAGGTTCGGTCACTTACGGATAATATCCGGTCATCCGGAATTATCCAGGCTTGTGTTTCTGTAGAAGCTGGACTGTTTCTGCCCAATCATAGGTCGGCTAAGCAGTCCGTTAATGATCACTTTTGGTTTTGCTCTCGACAACACAAAATGTCCTCGTAGTCGCCCCTCCTCACTGCTACCTCCTTCCACGTCCTTGTTGACACCCATCTTGACACTTTACCACAATCTTCATCAACTTACGTGCAACACTGAAGGAAAGTTCACAGCTTTCAAATCATTAAATCATATTATTATCCAATCAATTATTATCAAAGCTTTTATGCACAAATTATTATTGACCGTACCATCACGAATCTATTTTCATCAATACCTTTGTACTATTAATATTAATAGTAGTACGTACGAAGTATATGGATAATTCTACTACAAATCCATGTAGCTGTATATAAATACAGCTGTACTGTACTATTAAATAGTACACTAAATTTTACTATTAAGATAGTAAAATTTATGAGGAAACACAGTGAAAATGATCATCATTCCTGACACGTTTTGTCCCAAACCTTCATATTTTAATTAGGATTCGCTCAAGAGTGAAATCAGAATCCTAATGAAACTTTCTGTTTTGAAGTATACCTACTCCTCGAAGAATTAATGGTATATATAGTCCAGGCAATTACCTATTTGGCCGAGGTAAACTTGTAGTAAAGCACGATAAAGCCAAATCAATTATTTCCATACGGGGGTATTAGCCAACGAACGATGCTGAACACAACTAACGTTACTACTGTACCAGAAGTATGACACATAGCCAATTGTGGAGTATTACCGGTAAGTAGTACTCCGGAGTACTACGTAGTAGCAAAACGGTGATTGCCACCGAATCAGTTGGCATTGAGCTATGACGAGACTAACATTTGGAAAACCACCCGTCCGAGCGGGCTTATGTACGTGTACATGAGTGTTCCATGTGTTGACAAGAAATTGTCGGTGAAATCACTGACATGGCTTGGACGATTGGCAAATATTACAACTCGCTCCATGTTGGCTTCGTGATATCGTTAACAAGAAGTTACTTACGCAATCCCTTTGAAAGTTGTGTCCTTTCAACCTTGCCAAAGTGTAACTGCTTCACTCCAAATAAAAATCGAAACCGCCATTGGTTTCAAATGTCAACATTGAAACTTGTGTTCTTAACATTCGGGACAAGCAAATGGTGGTGCAATGTAGGTTTGAACGTTATACTGTGCGAATACAACTGCATTCGAATCAAGCACCTTTGCTTACAATTACTAGTAATACTGTGGGGCATCTTTTCAAAAAACGATTATCCAGTGGAGGGCGAAGTGTCGTTCGGGTGCCTGTACAGCCAGCCATTTTGCACAAGCTCCGACGTTCAATTCCATTGGGGCGCCCATTTCTTTGCTGGCGCTCTGGCTCCTCGCTCGCTCGTCGATCACTACACCAACGAATACACTCATTATCCGGTCCCGGTGACAAGTTAAACCCAATACAAATCCATGGCACAGAGAATTCCGATCTTGGCTCCATCCGACAAGAATAGTTTCCGTATAGGCTGTCAATGGTTATTAATGTTGGGAGGTGAAACAGGGAACGAATGGTCAATAATTTGGAATTTAGAAAATTCACTACAGTACTTCTGTACCCTTGCATTTCTGCCCAAGGAAACCAAACGCGTCGTATATTCACTCGGCCTGTTCTGTATGGGCTGCAGAAAGACCTATGAGCCTTTTTAGAGGTCGGTTCATGGTCCCATGATCGGTAAGGCGTTAGTCTCCATAATGTGCAGCAGGCTGCCATTCGTCGTGCGGTTGTATGCCATTGTAGAGCGGTTGAAAGATGTGCATTGTTGGCGCATTTTCGTTTGACGAAATGATTAGACTTAAAATAGACCAGAAAAAGTAATTCGCAGTAAAAGAGACCTCTGTTTACAATTTAATTCGGTCTCCTCAAGAGGTTCCCATGCAGATAGCGACGGGAGCGAAAACAAAGAATTATTTAGCCTCATCGCCCGAAGCAATGAGTGACTCTGACCATCAACGCTCTCAGTCCCCTGTTAACGGGACGGAGCGATCCCTATCCCAATAAGCCGAACGCGGCCGTCCCTTGCGACGTCAAGTCACTACCTCGTTCGCCTCACCACGGCGGCTGTTGACCAACAGTTTCAACCAGGTGGCTACGCCAACACCCCATTTACGGCGCCCACACCGACCCTCGTGGTCGCTCCATTTGATTATCCCGCGCCAGCTGTGACATCAACTGGCGCCACCAACCTGCCCCATGTCCCCGATGACGACAACATGGGACAAGGCGACGAGCGCGGCTTCGTGTACAACGCACCGGCGCTCCCTGACCCGCCCTCGTTCAACGAATCGACCAAGTCAGAGTGGCGGACATTCATCCGTCAGTACAACAAGTACCTGGACCAAATCAACACACTCCAGCTCGATGGCTCAAGACCCTTCGTCATGCCTGTCAGCGCGTGCATGGACGTCTTACCAAGAAGCGTGTGGCAATGTGGGATATGGCCAACCGTGACTGCTGTGGCGTCACGGAGGCAGAGTGGGCCGCATGGTTTGGCTAGGCGTTTGAAGATGAGCTTCAAGACCTGGAAGTGCTAAAAAACGTTTGACCAAGGCGATCCGGTTCGACACGACCATCCTTGACAACCTGATTCGAGCATTGGAGCGCGACGACTAAGCATGGGTATTGGACCAAGAAGGCAATACAGTTGTCGACATCATGGTCAAAGCGATCAACCCGCTTGGCCTGCAGAAGTCTGTC